TCGCCCCGTAATTGATACAAAATAAAATGCGTTATTTGTATGCAGTCAGGAGGAGCAGCCACGTGCAGCAGGCTGCGGCCAAGCTCATTTAAGGGCTTGGAGCCAGGCTTCTGAGCTCTCACGTTGAGGGATACCTTGTCAGGCAGGAGGAGCAGTCGGCAGGAGAGAAGCGGAGCGGGAAGTCTGGGTTGTCCTGATTGCACATATTTTAAACCGGGCGATGGAAAGCACCTCTCACCGAGCGGAGGTCTCAGGATCTAGAGGCCGAGGACTTCATGTGCTGGCCCTGGCACTCTGTCCCCTGTGAGCTGGAAACCTGTAGCTGTCTCCACGTGGCCACCCCAGCCACAGCAGTGGTCCTGTGGGCCTGACTGTCAGGCTAAGGGCTCTTGGGTCCCCTGTCCCAGGCCCCTGCCCTGCCGGCCTGCAGGCTCCTGCCACAGCCTCCCTTGACCAGGGGATTGCCCTGCTACCACCTTCTCTGCCCCACAGTCACTGCGTTTGCACGCACTTGGTGTTCCCACCACCATGTTCCCAGCAGCTGTCACCCAGCACCGAGAACCTCCTCTGTTGAGGGAGGCATCTTGTGTGGCACCTGGCCCGTGCCCAGCCACCTGTTTTGAGCTGAACTGCACCCATCCACCCAGCCACAGCGATCGCTCTGCCCCACGTGCTGTGCCTCAGCCCCTAAGATGCCAGCCTCCTTAAGTGGTCATAGTACCCTCTCTCCGTCCAGCAGGAAACTCAAAACAGACATGCCAGGCTTGGGCCCTAGAGGGTTTGGAGCCCAGACAAGACAGCAGGAAAACAGCAGAAGGCAATGAGGGTTCTGGGATTCAGAGACGGGGCTTCAGAGCCCAGCCCTCCCTGACCTGCAGTGGGACCTGGGAGGGAGGTCACCGGGGGCCGCAGTTTTTCACCTCTAAATTGGAGCAAGACAGTCTCCCAGGGCCCACCCTGGGAGGCCTCACCTGTGAGCACCTTATCTGACAAGAGCACATATGTCAGGTTCCTGGGACTGCCATAAGGAGCCCTGGTGGTGCAACGGTTAGGTGCTCAGCTATGCATCAGAAGGTCAGCGGTTCAAACCCACTAGCCACTCCATGGGAAAGAAAGACCTGGTGGTCTGCTTCTATAAAGATTACAGCCTAGGAAACTCCATGGGGCAGTTCCATTTGTCCTATGGACACACTGTGGTCTTGGACGGCACCCAACAACAACCAAAGACCAGGTGGCTTTCAAGAAGAGACATGTGTCATCTCTCAGTTCTGGAGGCTTCGATGCTGATCCTTCCACGGCTCTGAGGGAGAATCCATTCCATGTTTTCCTCCCAGCTTCCAGCAGCTCCAGGCATCCCTTGGCCCCAGCTGCAGCATCTGAAGGTGTCCTCTTTTATAAGGACCCCAGTCACAGACGCTAAGGCCCAGCCCTCTGATACAACCTGTGTTACCTGGTGACATCTCCAGAGACCCTCTTTGCAAACAAGGTCACGTTGGCAGGTTCCAGGGTGAGGACTTCAACATATCATTTGGCGACAATACCCAGCCCATACCTGTGGCAAAATGCTCCCTGGATTCTGTGGTGTTGCACGCATATTTCACCATCTTCAGGTCATGACCCCGATGTCTCTCCTCAGTGAGATCTGCCTTGACCACCCTGCTTAAATGGCAACACCCCTTTCCTGCCGCCACCACCCCAACAAAGCCACCTGGAAGGTTAGTTTGACAAGAGAAGCAAACAAACAAGCAAAAAAAAAACCACTGTTGCCAGCAGTCAACTCCAGCTCATACTGGCTGTATGACAGTGGGACTGCCCTGTCAGATTTCTTAGGCTGTCATCTTTACGGAAGCAGGTCACCAAGTCTTTCTCCTGCGGGGAAGCTGGATGGGTTCAACCACCAACCTTTTGGTTACAGCTGAGTGTTTAACACTGCACCACCAGGGCTCCCTTCACAAGAGGAAGAGCCTTTTCCTCTTAGGAGTAGAAGAAAGAGAGCCATGGTGTGGGCACCATCACAAGGCAGCCACACCAACGAGCTTGTAGCTCATTCTTTGCCGTGGACACAACCACCATCCTGGCACTGAAGGACACAGGTGCCCAGGTGTTTGCTGCACGCTCTGTCAAATCGGAGGAAAGATACCCAGACACTGAATTTCCGCAACGCTGTACACCTGTTGGAAGGACCCCTGGCAGCGTCTATGAGTCCATCCACAGAGAGGGGACTCAGGTCTTTCCACCAGGTGCTCCCCAGGGGCCTTCCTTCCCACCACACAGAGGGGACAAGACACCTCTGGTCTCAGGGCGTGGGGAAGGCTGCTCCCGGGGCATTCTTGGAACCATGCGTTTTTTTAAGATACCTTAAATACATTGTGGTTAAAGCATTCATCTTCCAACCCAAAGGTCAGCAGTTCAAACCTACCATCCACTCTACAGGAGAAAGATGAGGTAGGCTTCTTCATTTCAGTGAAGAATACAGCCTTGGAAACCGTCTGGGGCAGTTCTGCTCTGTCCTCTCAGGGCACGGTGAGTGAGAATCGACTCGCCTCAAGAGCAGTGGGTTTGGTTTGGACTTTAATTCCGTAAACATTATAGCCTTGGGAAAACTCTGGGGTAGTTCTTGTATGTCCTTTAGGGCCGACTGTCAGTTGGAATCACCTTGGCGGCAACAGGTCGGTTTGCTTGTTTGGGGTGTGAGCCCCACCCGCACAGCCCTTCTCCTCACTCCTGCTGTCCTCTCCATCTGTCTGCCTCACTCACTGGCCCCAGATCCTCTGGCCTCAGCTCTGTTTCTGGAACTCACCAGCTTTGCTCCCATCTTAGGGCCACATTTAGCCTTGGAGCTACTTCCTGCCCCCCTCATCGTTTTCAGTTCATGACCCAGACGTCTCTCCTCAGTGAAGTCTACCTTGACCACCCTACTGAAATGGCAACACCCCTTTCCTGCCGCCACCACCCCAACGAGCAGGCCTCTATACCCTGCACTCCTTCCTTCCTTCCTTCTCAGTAGCGCTTCTCACCTTCTCACGCCCTCTGGGTAGTGACCCAGCTACTAGGTGAGTGCCACCAGGGAAAGGCTCTCATGGATGGATCTCAAGCTTCTAGAAAAATGACTGGCCCTTGGTGCTCAAAACAAGACTAGTGGATGAATGGAGTCTGCTGTACAGAACGGTCTGTCTTTTGAATTGTCCAAGGACTGAATCATGAAATAAAGAGCTGGCCGGGAGACACTTCCTGCGTGTGCATGCATCTCTGGCCCACCGTCGATGTAGTTTTCCATCCAGGTTCACTTACGTCTTCATTTCTGGTCATTTAGCACCTCTTTGGTCTTCTCTTCGGTCATGACCCCTGAGACAATGTCATTGGCAGTGGATCATCACACTTGTGCGCTGGTTTGAAAACTTCTGTAAGTACCTGCAGTGAATCAAAAATTGGCAGGTCTACTATGTTAATCAATTTCTGGGCACAAGGAGCCCTGTGGTGCAGTGGTTAAAGTATTTGGCTGCTAACCAGAAGGTCAACGATTCCAACCCACCAGCCACTCCTCAGGGGAAAGATAAGACAGTCAGCTTCCATAAAGATTGACAGCCTTGGAAACCCTGTGGGGCAGCTCCACTCTGTTCTCCAGGGGCGCTGTGAGTCGGAATTGACTCCACAACAGTGGGTGTCATTTGGGCTTTGCTTCTGTGAAGAATGACAGCCTTGGAAACCCTGTGGGGAAGTTCCACCCTGTCCTCTAGGAGCACTGAGTCGAAACCAACTGATGGCAGTGGGTTTGGTTTGGGCTTTGCATCTGTAAAGATTGACAGCCTTGGAAACCCTCTGGAGCAGTTCCACCCTGTCCTCTAGGGGCACTGTGACTCAGAATCTACTCCACGGCAGTGGGTGTGATTTCGGGCTTTCCTTCCATAAAGATGACAGTCTTGGAGACCCTGCGGGGTAGTTATACTCTGTCCTCTAGGGGCGCTGTGGGTCGGAATTGACTCCACGGCAGTGGGTGTGGTTTGGGCTTTGCTTCTGTGAAGACTGGCAGCCTTGGAGACCCTGTGGGGCAGTTCCACTGTGTCCTCTAGAGGCACTGTGGGTCGGAATCGACCTTGAAGGCAGTGGGTTATTGTTGGGCGCTGGTAACAGAGAGAAATGGCATAGAATTTTTACATAAAATGAAGTGAAGTTATAGCCACATACAATGTGGGAGGTAGAAGAAAGAGAATGAGGAATGCCATAGTTGCCCCTTATCCACGGTTTCACTTCTCATGGTTCCATTACCTGCAGTCAGTGACAGTACAGATGTTTAAACTGTGCGCCACTCTGAGCAGCTTGGTAATATCTGGTGCTGCCTGACCCTTCTCTGCTCAGCACCAGCCTGGAAAACACAGTCGAATGAGCAGCTGGGCCACGGCCTGCCAGTGTCCAGGGCCCCTGGGTACCTGTCGTATGTATGGATAGGACAGAACATAGTCTAGATAGGGTGTGGTACTATCCCCCATTTGAGGCGTCCACTGGGGGTTTTGGAACAGATCCCCCGCAGATAAGGGGGCACTACTGGACTTCTTGCACACATCCTCGCGCACACACGCACATGAACCATCAGAGCCATTTAATGTGACATTTTCATCAGCATTCTTAAGTCTGTGTCATGCCTAATTCTATCGATGTCATTATTGGAAGAGAGAAATAAGAAAAAGCATGAACTCACCACTCTCTTTTTCTGGAAGCTCTGAACTTTTTCTCCCTCATGCCAAGGAGAGACCTTGGAGTTCTGCATAACGTAAAGAGAATACTGAATCGGGGCCCGTTTTTGAATGACGGGTGGTCCATGAGAGCGAGGGGTGCCATGACCTTTTAATCTGTGATGTGGGGCCACTGCCTTGGTCGTCTACTGATTGCAAGGCTTGATACCATGTTGGAGGGACACTAAGATGTTTTGGCTTTTTTTTTTTTTGTTTTTGCAAAGTCAGCTTTTTAAGAGCTTAACCTTTACCTTTTCCGTCCCATTGCAGACACGGGGCTGGGTGACTCCGTGTGTTCCAGCCCAAGCATCCCCAGCACCACCAGCCCCAAGCTCGACCCGCCCCCCTCTCCTCACGCCAACAGAAAGAAGCACCGGAGGAAGAAAAGCACCAGCACCTTCAAGGCCGACGGTCTCTCGGGCGCTGCCGAAGGTGAGGTCCGGGCTCGGGATGCCCAGGGGCCGAGTCTGCACTTCTGAAAGTGGCCGTCATTCTTCAGGAGCGGGAAAGCCCGTGCTGCTTAGAGCCTTGTGCACAGTAATGGGGGTCCCCATGCGCTTTCTGTTGGCAGGGTGTCGCTTGGGGCCCCTCGGCCCCTCACCTCTGCCGCACCCTGGGATTACCCTGCCCTGTCAGTGACCTCGTCTTGCAGCATCTTGTAGGCGGGTATGCTGATCCCCCCTCCTGGGCCTCACCAAGTTCGTCAGGAGTGCCCACTTGGCAGCCTGGGGACAGTGTCCCCTGTAACTAGGTGTCTGCTTTGCATTACTCCAAAGGCAGTTGCATTCCTGGTTTAGGACTCAGTGTTGGTTGGTTTCAGGTCCAGTGCGATGGCTCCCTCACCTCTGGCTTCGTGCATTAAGACTGTGATGAACAGCTTCTGCTCCCGCCCATCATCTTGTTTTGTCCTTTGGACTCTAGGAATGTTCGGGGTCACGGTTTGTCGTGACACATCTCTGGTTGGTGAGGGCTCAGGTTTTATTCGCAGCAATGACCCCACGGAACCTTCCTCACGTGGCTCCGTCACACGAGCTTCCGTTCTTCATCCACAGATGCAAGTGGGCGGTGGGCCACCGGGCTTCACACAAAACTGTGCGTGCGTCCATCCTGTCTCCGTCGAGCCAATTCTGATGCATGATGACCCTGCAGGACCAAGTGGACCTGCCCCATAGGGTCCCTGAGGCTGTCAGTTTTCACAGGAAACAAAGCAAACCAAACCCACTGCCGTCAAGTCGATCTGACAGTGCCCCTAGAGAGCAGAGTAGAACTGCCCCATAGGGATTCCAAAGCTGTGCTCTTTATGGTAGCAAACTGCCTCATCTTTTTCCTGTGGAGCAACTGATGGGTTCAAACCACTGACCTTTTAGTTCACAGCCAAGCGTTTAACCACTCCACCAGGGCTCCTTATATTATGTCCAGGTACCATATACATGCATTTTCAGAGGTTACATTTAGTGCACTATTACAAGCAAGTATAACAAATACTTAAAAATTAAAATTTCAAAACGTTGTGGCATTGTGAATTATTTGTGATGTAGACAATAGTCAAAGAGGTCTACCTTCAGCAAGAGTTCCACATAAGCAGGATGTAGCTTTATTGTAGGAGTTCTGGTGGCACAGTGGTTAAAGCACTAGGCTGCCAACCCAAAGGATGGTGGTTTGAACCCACAGGCTGCTCCGTGGGAGAAAGATGAGGCAGTCTGCTTCCATAAAGATGACAGCCTTGGAAACCCTATAGGGCAGTTCCACTCTGTCCTCTAGGGGTACTGTGAGTTGGAATTGACTCCAAAGCACTGGGTGTGGTTTGGACTTTGCTTCTGTAAAGACGACAGCCTTGGAGACCCTCTGTGGCAGTTCCTCTCTGTTCTCTAGGTTCGCTGTGAGTTGGAATTGAGTCCAAGGCAGTGGGTTTGGTTTGAGCTTTGCTTCTGTAAAGATTGACGGCCTTGGAAACCCTGTGGGGCAGTTCCACTTTGTCCTCTAGGGGCGCTGTGAGTCGACATTGACTCCACGGCAGTGGGTGATGAATCCTTATTTAGTTGGTATCCTTTGTCTCTGTTTTTTCCACACTTTTTCTGAAGACTCTACTTGTTGGATTGGGCCATGTTAGAAAAAGTGACCTGTTTCCTGCTGATACCCAGAGGGCAGTCTGTAAGGCCACAGTGTGACTGATAGCAGGAAGGGAAGAGTGTCAATGGGTGCTGACTGTGTTATCTACCATCATTCTGTGAGGTGGGCAGCATTGTCCTGTTCAGTGTGGAGACCTTGGGTTGGAGCAGGACATAGTGCCTGGGATCTTGTGGCCAATCAGGGTAGGTGTGAAGGCCCCTTTCCGTCCCAGCATTCCTTGCCATGTCGCCTCACATAGACTGTGTCGGGGATCAAGTCCCCCGTTGGTGCGAGCAGTTTGTGACCGGCTATTAACTGGCCAGCAGCTCTGCAGGAGAAAGACGTGGTGATCTGCTGTGAAGATGACAGCCAGGGACACGGCATGGGACACAGTTCTGCCCTGTCACCTGGAGCGACCATAAGTCAAAATGCACTCGATGCACCTAACAACAGGGCTTTCTGCTAAGAAGGCCAGCCGGTGAAAGCAGTGTCTGTGAGGAGTGAGCGATGAGTGAGCGTCATCTGGTGCACCAGCAGAGGTGGGACCTACAGATGTCGCAACCAAACCCCCACCCACATGCCTGTTGACCTTCCCCTGGAAAAGGGCTCAGCCCCAAAGGCTTAGCATTGAAGACACTTCTCCAAATACCTGTCCAGGCAAGAGCACTTCCCACACACACACAGCCAGCCGCCCCTCACCCTGCCAGGAGGTTTGGGGTGAAATCAGGAAGATGTTAGTGCCATTGTCACAGGTAAATGCCTTCCTTTGTTCACATTGTGCCCTCAACTGATATCTGTAGTTCTTTCTAAAAGCACAACCTGGTCGACACTGCGTATCAAGCCCACCTATAACCCCTTGTATACAGTTAAATTATCCCACTGCCCTGTGGACAAATGTCTAAATTATGTAAATTAGACACAGCCTGAAGGTTAGTTAGGTGCGTTTGCATTTTTAGTTGGACAACTGGTTCAAATTGGTGTCTCAATCAGCCCTTCTGCTGGCATAGTGCCTAAGGCATTTGACTGCTAACCAGAAGGCTAGCGGTTCAAACCCACCAGCCACTCCTTGGAAGGAAGGGTGAGCAATCCTTCCATAGTGATACTGCCTCGGAAACCCAAGGAAGGGTCACTATGAGTCAGATCCGACTTTTGGTTTTTTTGAGTATCAGCCTTTTCAACACTGGGCATTTGAAGGAAGTTTGAGAAGGACCCTCAAGAGTTTAGGAAGCCTAAGGCATTTCGAAAGGAGCTCTAGTGGCTTAGGGGCTGAGGCATTTAGCTGCTAACTGGAAGGTTGGCAGTTCAAACCCACCAGCTGCTCCTTGGGAAAAAGATGAGACAATCTCCTTCCATTAAGATTGACAGCCTTGAAACCCTATGAAGGTCACTTGGAATCGGCTCAGTGGCAAGGAGTAAGGCATCACCGAGTCCCCTTCCTGAGTTCCTGGGATTGTGTGTTCTGAAGGTTATCTGCCAAGGTCAACACCCATAATCCACAGCATGGCCACCTACAAACCCTTTCGTCCGTCCACTGAGGTGGTGACGTGAATAGGAAGACCGTACAGACACCCAGGTTAGAAAGTGATGGTGCTGTCTCGATACGGATGAGCAAAGTTGACGTGTGCTCAGAAGTTCAAAGCATTGGGTGGAAGGGGAACCTGCCCCTCACTTTCTAGTTCACCACCCAGTTTCTGTGATACAAGTGGGCATGACTTCTTTCAAACAGAAAATGAGACAATAAGTTCTCTATGAAAAGAAAGTATATCCTATCCCCAGAAGAAACAATCCACCAGGCTGTCATGGCATTACTTCTGTGAGGCACACACACTGTTTAATTATTTGTAAGGCATACTTTTCCCCCCACATTTTTACATTTCTGAGGTCAGAATTCATTCTACAATTGAAGGCATTTTAGATTCAACAAAAAACAGTATTTCTTAGTAGCCCTAAAAACCACTGCGTAGTTAGAGTGCTGACTGTGCGGCATTGTGATGTGACAGTACCCGGCAGCTACGTGTGAAGTTGCCACGTGAACCCTGAAGCTTAGCAGCCTGCGCCGAGACAAAGGTGGCTATGAGTGCTTGGTTCTTAGAGGGTACTGTCTAATTTTAATCGTAAGAAAACATCTCTGTTCCTCTTTTCAGCTAGGCACAGTGAGTAGTTGCTGACTCTGGTTACTCTTGTCCCTTGACCCAGTGCTGTAAAGTCACACTTGGAGATGTAAAAGTCTTATGGAAGATTCTGGAACGCAGCTGAATTTTTATGGATTTCATTATACTTCTCTGGGATAAGTGACTAGCTTGAGATGGCTTGAGTATAAGAAAAATAGGAGCCCAAGTGACGTGACGGTTAAGCGCTCAGCTGCCAACTGAAGGGGGAGCAGTTCAAACCCACCCAGTGGTTCTGCGGGAGACACCCCCAACAACCTGCTCCGTGAGGGTTACAGCCTAGATAACCCCATGGGGCAGTCCTGCTGTGCCCCAGGGGTTGCTGTGAGTCAAAAATCCATGCAGCAGTACCTAATGACAGCAACGTAAGAGAGCTACCATTCCAGGAAAAACCTGTGAATTCAGTCAGTGGACAGGTGGCACCCTCAGGCCAAGTCACTGAGGACAGGGTACCCAGGGACTGCCTATGAAGGGGGATAAGACACATGCAGAGAAAGCTGTCCTAGAATTTAAGGCGAGCTCACCGGTGGCTTAGGGGTGTAACTTGCATTCCACGCAGGAGACCCAGGTTCAAAGCCCGGCCAGGGCAGCTCATGCCCGGCCCCCACCCGTCTGTCAGTGGAGCCTCGTGTCTGGCTGTGCTGCTGAGCAGGTCTGACGGAGTCGGGACCAGGAAGAAAGGCCTGGTGAGCTGCTTCTGCAGCCAGCCCCTGGAGACGCCCAGGGTCCCAGTGGTCTGAGCCCCAGCTGATGGAGGGGTGGCGTGGGCCTGGAAGCATTTCGTTCTCTTGTGCCTGGGGTCACCGTGAGTCGGGCCAACACCACAGCGGCGGACAACCACAGAAGTAAGGCAGATGACTTCAGAGAGGAGGAAGCAGCGAGCTGTAAGAGTCGGAGAAAGCTGGCTGCTGTACGGCTTCACTGTGTGGTCTGCAGGTTCCGTACGTAGTGGCTGCCATGTTTGATAGGGTGGCAGAAAGCGGGCGCTTTTCCTCGAATGCTGTCTCTTCACGGCAGCTGAGCTCACCAGTGCTGGCGATGAGAATCGTCCTAAAAGGGGTGTAGTTTTCACTCGGATGCTGAGAGACACGTGTTGGTACTATTATTAGCACCTGTTACCTTTGGACAGTTTTTTGTGAATTCATGGGTGTTCTG